GCCCATACTTGACCTTGCTCAGGCTAACCCACACTTGACCTTGCTTATGCTAGCCCATACTTGACCTTGCTCATGCTAGCCCATACTTGGCTGTTAGCAATTTGTTAAAAGTTTTAACTGCATTCTTCTTGTCCGCTTATATGGTGCCCAGTGTCTCTTCCTCCTATGCTTTGCACAGTGATCCAGTGCTTACATCTATTTTTCCTTGGAGGAGCCTGACTTTCTTTGAAGTTTCTTTGGAGTTCAGGAGTTGAGATTTCTCTGTGACCTTGACTTTTGAAACTTATGATTTTAAAGTTTATGTGCCTTTTTTTTTTTTTTTTTTTGTTAGGTTGGGAGTAAAGAAAAGCTTTTTCCAGCTTTCTACTTCCTAGGTGGAAATGGAACTCTCTATGACTGACAGTTTAATTTTTTTTTTTTCCCTAAAAGTGTTCTTGCAAATTTCCAATATAGGAGAGGTCAGCTCAGCATTATATAAAAAGTAAAGTTGCTTTAATTAAAAATGGAAAGTGTTTTAGTTTGGCAAATGGTAGGAAAGACAGATTAGTGCTCTTAAAGTATGTATAATTTAAAAATAATACTTTGCAAGTCAGGTTGTATTCCAGAACAAATTTTTAGAGCTAAGTTACTAAGCTATAAGAAAGAAGTTTTATTCAAAAAGTGCTGATACATCTTTCTATGGTATGGTGTAATTTGTTTGATGGCAATTTTGCCACAATTCCATAGCTCTAGCAAAAGGTATCGTCCTACCAGGTGGGCTCTGTTGGCCCTTTGCATTGGCAAAGCCTCAGGTACAACTTTTCACACAGCACACCTCTTTTCAATAATTCAACCTTAGGACATAAAGATCACAGGGGAAGAGAATTTTGCACTCTATCAAGGCTCAGGAAGGGTGAGGACGTAGGAGTTACAGAGAAGAGTAGATTGCTTAATAAAAGAAGAAAGAAGCTTCTCCTTTACCCAGAATTGTTAATGAGAACAGGAGACATGGAGGAAAGACAGTGTTTCTGAAAAAGAATTTCTATTTCTGGGACTTAATGCCTGCCCAAGTCTCCATGATGGCACCAACGCCATTGATTCGTTAATTTAATTTTTCTTAAGGCATGCGGGCTCCGGGAAAGTCCAGTGTGGTATATTGAAAAAAGCTTTTGGGACATCTGAGTCAGACTGACCTAGGCTTGAATCATGGCCACATCCTAGCTGTTACAATGAAAAAATCCTTTTCCTTTTTACCTCAGTTTTCTTGCCATCAAAATAGATGACAGAGATAATACCTACTTCATAGTGTTGTGATATTAAATGAGATCATGAATATTATGTACTGAAAAAATGCTTTTATAAACAACTTATTGACTACTTACTATCTGCTGGCTCTGAGCCAGGCACCTGATATGGGTTATATAGTTGAATGTCCATTACAACTCTATAATGTAGGTGCTATTATTATCATTCCCACTTTATAGAGGAACAGCCTGAGCTATAGAGAAATAAGTAACTCAACATGAACAAGTCGTGGTGGTGATAGGATGTAAACCTAGATTTGTCTAACTCCAGGTTAATGCTCTTAACCATATTCCTGTGCTCCTTTCCATTTTCTCTGGTTCCTGCATCTCCTCAAACCACCGTGGAACTTAGAAATACATTTTGGTGTTTGGTGACATATTGGTAGATTGCATGCCCAATATTTCCTCGTCCTCCTCCTCCTTCCTCTTCTTCTTCTTCCTCTCTTCCTCCTCCTTCTCTTTCTTCTTCTTCTCCTTCTCTTTCCTTTCCTTCCTCTCCTTCTTCTCCTTCCTCTTCTTTTCCTTCTCCTTCTTCCCTTCTTTCCTCCTCCTCCTCCTTCTTCTCCTCCTTCTCCTCCTTTTTCTCCTTCTCTCTCCTTCTCCTTGTTTCTTCTGACAGAGTCTCACGGTGTGGCCCAGGATAGAGTAAAGCGGTGTGATCATAGCTTACTGCAACCTCCGCCTCCCAAGTTCAAGCATTCCCCTCACTTCAGCCTCCCAAGTAGCTGCAACTGGTGTACACTACCAGACCTGGCTAATTTTTACATTTTTTATAGAGACAAGATTTCATCATGTCATTCAGGCTAGTCTTGGACTACTGGCTCAAGTGATCTGCCTGCCTTGGCCTCCCAAAGTGCAGGGATTACAGGCATGAGCCATTGTGCCTGGCCAGCATTTCCTTCTGAGAACATGTTTGAGACCTTTACAGATACTCTCAGGGTGGTGGAAGCAGCAGAAGGTATTTCGGTTAGGGAGAACAACCTTTCTATATGGTCACTTTTAACTTTCTGTATCTTAGGCATTTGGGACCTTAGGTTTGCATGTCCTACTCATGCTTGGGTAAAGAACCTAGGAGCAGAGCATAGAGTGGTGCCATGTTTCCCACAGATGAATTATTTTCATGAGAGCAGAGTGACTAGCAGGAACTCTGTCTGAGGTTTTCCTCCTTTGAAAACACATCTGAAGTTTATTCTTTAGATCATGCTTGATAAATGGAGGGGTATGCCCTAGATGGGAAAATAACACTTCATGCTAAAGGAGGCATTTTTAAGAGGATTTTTACTTGGCATATAGTCTACCTAGAAGTCATGTCTTGCTGTCCTCATTTATTTTGCCATTTACCATCTGGTCCTAATTAACACACGGTTGGAACTATGAAGTGCAATGGACAATTCTTCCTTTAACCTCCAAAGAACTGTCTGCTAGTGGAGGTGCCTCAGAAGGGGTTTATTAGTATGGGAATGATTTCCAGAGTTATAACCTACAAATGCAGTTTTGACAGTCTCCACATTTCTCTAAAACTATGTCAGTTAACAGGAATCTGACTCAAGTACTTACATTCAACACTCCTGGCATTGAATACTTTGAATGATAGCACCAGGTTCACAATTAGAAATATTTTTTCCCATGCAGAATAATGTATAGTCATTACTGAGTCCCATTTTGACCTGTTACCTGGGCTACACAGCCATATTAATGTGTGCAGAGGTATGATCAGAATTCCTCCATATGAAATTATCTTCTCTGTAAAGAAATTGAGTTGATAAATAAGGCCCTAGCAGCCTTAAATAATTGATCCACCATACAAAGGAATGTAATCAAGTTCTTCCAGAGAAATGCACCTCCCAAAAGGAAGCATCAAATCTGCACTGCTCATCCTTAATATGCCCTCCTGACTCTCACAGATTGTGATAGATGATCAGAAATAATAACTTTTTTGCATTCATTTCAGATTCATAGGCAGAAACACAATGATCACTATTTATTGCACACCTGTTTTAATCCAGGTGTCTACATGTATCTTCTAGAATATTTAAAGCTCTGACAAATGGATATAATTTAATCCACTTTATAAATTAGGAAAGGGGGGCTCAGGAGAGTTAAGTAAATTGCTTAATATCACACAGCTACTATGCCGTGAAGCCAAAATTTGGATCCATTCTGAATTACTTCAAAGCTTTCACCCATCCTTATATTCTATATGCATATAGAGGGTGAAGAAGAATAAGATTCAGTGTCTTTCTTTAAATACCTTACATGTAGTTAAGGATCCAAGATACCATCATTATGATAAAAAGCTAAATTTATTGGGAACTTAACTATGTGTCAGGGACTGTGCTAAACTCTTTATATAGACTTTCTCATTTAATTCCTTAAACAACCCCACGAAGTACATAGTACTACTATGCCCAGATGACAGATGGCATTAAGTAGCTTTCTTCATATGGTAGAGCTGGGCTTCCAACCCAGGCAGTCTGATCCAGAGTCCATACTTTTATTCACTGTTGCTTCCCCAGACCGCTGATCTGGGAAACAGATTGTTCAGAAGACGTTTTAGTTGAAGTCAGGCTAAATTAGGGGTCAAACCACATGAATAGAATCAATGGTACCTGCAGTTAGAGAGTTAAAGGCCAAGGCAATCATAGGTGATAAGTTGTCTGTGGCGGCAGAGCTTTCAGGAACCATGGACAGCCACACAGGGAGTTATTTTCATGGTTTATCTAAGCCAGGTAAAGCTATGATCCTGAAACAGGTGAATGTCTTCTACTCACTGTCTTTGTCATTAATTGACCTCCATCCCTTTCCTGCTTTGCTTAGTCCCTGATAATTCATGGAATATTTTTCAATACCTTTAAGAACTCTGTAGTTAATGTAAGCCATTGTTTGGGGTTTTCCGTGGAGATATATAACATCCAACAGTGTGGTTGGGGATGAGTGGTGGATAAAGGGAGTATAGGGGAAGAAGGGAGAATTCTCAGCCCTCTTAATCATTTGTTTTTTCCCCTCTAACAGTCCATTTTCCTCTAAGTCAGGATAAAGTTAAAGCTAGGGTCAGGACCTTGACAAAAAATGTGAACAGTAAAAACAGCTCTGTTGAAGGACACAGGCAATGTCACAAGAAAGCCCATGAGTGATTTGCAAATGGAAGGTACAGTCAAGTGCCATTGGAGGGTGAAATCATTGTAAGCTGGAGTGGTCTCAGAAGGCAAGCAAAGGGTGTATTTGGATAAGTGGAGACAAGGGGAGGGATATTTCAGAAAAAAAGGAAAGAGCTTAAAAATTATGACAGCATAGAGCTACAGAATGTCTAGTGGAGAATAAACAGGGTGATCCTTTTCCATGGAGACTGTGATAGTCTCATATTTGTGCATCATCAAAATCAATACTTATTTTTATGTATATATACAAAATATCAGAATGAATAAACATCAGGCATACTTTTGAGCCTTTGGGGTAGAGATGTGGATACACAGGAGCCCATGCACCTCTTCAGTCAGACAGCTCTATTAACATTGGATTTCTGCTGCAATTATAAAACACCATCAGAGACAAGCTGTTCGGTAACATTTCTCACCGAGCAACTAGGGGGCCCGGAGAAGCTGGATTGTCATTTGCAGGAGACAAATGACAATGATCCCTTGAGATGTAATGTGCAGAAAAAAGTACAATCTTATTATGAGATTACCATTGTAATGTAAGGTTTCTTCCTGTTCCCAGCTCAGACAGAGGAGGGAGACAAGGTACCATGTTAACAACAGGACTGGTATTTCGCCCAGAGTACAGAGAGCTCGGCAGATTCCCGGCATTTCTGAAAAACAATCCTTTGGGGTTGAGTCCAATTAAATGCTTTAGGAAAAAAGTTTTGATATTCAAGAGAAATAATATGGCTCAACAACTGAAGTTCCACTTCTGATGGACCTGAGAAGCCTGGCAAATGACGTTTGATTTTCACACTCTTTGAAGAGACAACAGATTTCACTGTGTAGGGGAGAAAGTGCCCAAGTGGACTTCTGGAGTTCTGACTGCTTTGGGAGATCCATTGACTGGTAAGGGATTTAGTCATTGATTTTAATGAAGAGAAAAAAGAATATCCTTTACATTGGCTTTATGTGTCATGTGATGGGAGACAGAGGGTTATGTATATTCTGCTCATCACCTCTGGGAAATATGTGTGTGTGTCTGTGAATGAATATATGCAGATTTTTGGGCCAGGCACAGTGGCTCATGCCTGTAATCTCAGCACTTTGGGATGCTGAGGTGGGAGGATCCCTTGTGCCTAGGAATTGGAGATCAACCTGGGCAACATGGTGAGACTCTGTCTTTACTTAAAATTTAAAAATTAGCTGGGAGTAGTGGAGCACACCTGTGGTCCCATCTACTCAGGAGGCGAAGGTGAGAGGATTGCTTGAGCCCAGGAGGTCAAAGCTGCGGTGAACTATGATTGCACAACTGTACTCTAGCCTAGGTGACAGAGCGAGACCTTGTCTCAAAAAAAAAAAAAAAATACAAACTTTGGTACCTAGAAGGTGAATATTAGGACATTGACCCTTCACCAAGCGGTCATCCAGATTATTTCATGCCTTCCACTCAGCAAAGCACCAGCATGGATAGGAGCTTTGGCATTGGACAGACATGGGTTCATGTCCCAGCTCAACCACTTTCTAAGAGTGTGAACTTAAACAAGCTACTTAAATTCTCTGAGCTTCATTTTTCTCATCTGTGCAATGGGGATACTAATACTCTCTGCAGAGTATTATGGTGCTTGACATAAGTGCCCATACCACATTCTCACATGATGATCTAAAGCAGTTATTTATTGCTTCCTTGGTGAGGTGAACATCTCTTGTTTTGGTCTTCCAGTTATCTCTTCTCTCCTGCTAATACCACTTTGACTTTCCTTTGAATGAACCACCTATCCGCCTTCCTCACTTCATATGGTTTGGGTAGAGAGCTTTCTTCGCTGTAGATGTGGACATATTTTCATCAAAGAGTGTTTCATCTTCCTGTTCACAGTGATTGGTTCAGGGATAGACATGTGACCAAAGATACAATGAGACTCAAAAGCCTAATTGAGACTCAAAAGTACTTTTCTGGATCTTTCTGGAGGGAGAAACTCTATTCCTCTGGTGGTTGCTAGGACCATATAAGACAGTTCTTCAAAAAGTTAAACATAGAATTATCGTATAACCCAGCAATTTCACTCCTAGGTATATGCCAAAAGTAATTGAAAACAGGCATTCAAACAAAACTTGTTTATGAATTTCATAGCAGTAAAATTCACAGTAGCTGAAATGGGAAGTAATTCAAGTGTTCATCAACTGACAAATGGATGAACAAAATGTAGTATCTCCATATAATGGAATATTATATGACCATGAAAAGGAATGAAGTACTGATACAGGCAACGACATGGATGAACCTGGAAAACATTCTGCTAAGTGCACTAAGCTAGAGGCAGCAGGCCATAGATTGTATGATCGCGATTATATTAAATATGCAGAATAAGCAAATTTGCAGAGACAGAAAACAGGGACTGAGGGAAGGGAGGTGAGGGAGGGATCAGTTCATGGGTGTGGTTTCCCTTTTTGAAGTGATGAAAATGTTTTGAGACCAGATAGACGTGATGGTTGTACAACACTGTGAATGTACTAAATGCCTCTGAATTGTACATTTTAAAATGATTAGTTTAGGTTATGCTAATTTTGTCTCAGTAAAAAAGAATGTATTAGTATTTTTTGTCGCTGTGTCTCCCATCACAGCAGGTGGGCTTGTTTGCATATGGAGCCAACAAGGAGGAAAAGCAGAAAACTGAGAGATGGAGAGAGACCCTTGACAATGTTTGAGCCCCAGGATCTGCCTATATCTGAAACCATTGCGTCTGGGCATTCAAGTCTGTGGTTCAGTAAATTTCCTGCTCTTTCTTAAACTAGCTGGAGTTGGATTTCTGATTATAACCAGAAGTACTTAGATGAATACATGAAGCTGGTGAAACAATATTTCTAAATATTTTTATATGTAAATAGAGCTACATCTCGAGCATAGACCTATTTCTTGGGCTCTAGACTCATCTATCCAACTGCCTCTTGACTGTTTCACTTGGGTTTGTATGTGGTATCTTGATATGGTTTGGCTGTGTATCCCCACCCAAATTTCATGTTGAATTATAATGCCCAGTGTTGGAGGAGGGACCTGGTGGGAGGTGATTGAATCATGGGGGTGGATTTCCTGCTTGCTGTTCTTGTGATAGTGAGTGAGTCTGCAGGCGATCTGGTTGTTTGAAAGTGTGTAGCACGTCCCCCTTTACTCTCTCTCCTGCTGTCATGTGCAGATGTACTTGCTTCCTTTTCTGTTATGATTGTGTTTCCTGAGGGCTCCCCAGTCATGCCTCCTGCATAAGCATAGCCTGTGGAACTGTGAGTCAATTAAACCTCTTTTCTTTATAAACTACCCAATCTCAGTTAGGTTTTTTTGTTTTGTTTTGTTTTTTTGACAGAGTCTTGCTCTGTTGCCTAGGTTGGAGTGCAGTGGCGTGATCTTGGCTCACTGCAACCTCCGCCTCTGGGGTTCAAGTGATTCTCCTGCCTCAGCCTCCTGAGTAGCTGGAATTACAAGCACCTGCCACCATGCCTGGCTAATTTTTGTATTTTTAGTAGAGATGGGGTTTCCCTATATTGGTTAGGTTGGTCTCAAACTCTGGACCTTGTAATCCACTCGCCTCAGCCTCCCAAAGTGCTAGGATTACAGATGTGAGCCACTGCACCTGGCCAGGTAGTTCTTTATAGCAGTGTAAGAACGAACTAATATACATCTCAAACTCAGCATGTATGATGCCAGACTTATGAATTCCCATTACCCAAGCATACCTCACTCACAATTCACCTAATTTCAGTTAATACAGAGATTCAGCTAATACTCAATGCCATGCTTCTGGAGGCTCAGGCCCAAAGCCTTGATGTCATTCTTTCTTCCCCTCCACATTCAACTCATCAAAAAATTATCTTCAAATGCCTTCTTTAAAACATGTTCAGAATTGATCTCTTATCCCCACCTTTATGAATGGAGTAGTTACTTCAGGACATTCGAGATGGGAGAGAAACTGAGTGAAGAACCCCAGCCTTCCTGGTCCCTGTTTGACCTCAGATCCACCCTTTGTCCTCCTCCTGCAGACACGGTTCCAGGCTCCCACACTGGGTGGACTTGCATCTGAACTTGGTTAATGAGAAGTGCTGATGGAAGCCTAGGATGAAGGAGGAAGGGATAAACCATGGCATTGCTTCCTCTTTGTCTCCCCTGGCGTCTCTGCAGCAGCTGTGTCTCCTCTGTGGCTCCAGATCCCATGGGATGGGCCTAGCCTTTGCCCTGGGCTTTGTTAATACCCCTTCTCCCTTTGTCTCTTGCCCCAGGTGTTGTAGGAGATTTCTGCTGTTTATTAATGTCTGACATGGCCAGATGAAGCAAATGACACTGGATTCTGCAACTGCAGATTTGGATCCTGTCTTTATTTAGAATTTTGCTATTTTCTTCATCACGGAATCTTTTTCTGCATCTGTCTAGGCTTTTAAAGGTATTGCATTAAAATAGGATTGCCTCACTGTCCCATTTAGCATCTCAGTGCTTTGTCACCTGTGCAGCTAATTCCCTGTGTTAAAATCCTGCTGGCCAGGCACAGTGGCTCACACCCATAATCCCAGCACTTTGGGAGGCTGAGTCGGGCGGATCACCTGAGGTCAGGAGTTTGAGACCAGCCTGGCCAACATGGTGAAACCCCATCTCTACTAAAAATATAAAAATTAGCCAGGCGTGGTGGCGGGCACCTGTAATCCTAGCTACTCAGGAGGCTGAGGCTGGAGAATCCCTTGAACCTGGGAGGTGGAGGTTGCAGTGAAATGAGATTGCACCACTGCACTCCAGCCTGAGTGACAATAGCGAAACTCTGTCTTTAAAAAAATTCCTGCTGTTCGAAATGCTCAAGTGGTTTCTTTTTCCTGTGCAGACGCTGACTGATGGAGTGCTTCATGTAGATTTAGATTTACACATCTCTATGAGGTAGTATTATGTTCATTTTACATGTGAGGAAAGATGCTCAGAAACCTTCAGGAACCTGCCAAGTGTCACTGAGCTACGTTGGGGAAGAAATGGATCTTGAACCTAGGTCTTCAGGATTACAGAGTCCTCACTCTGTGGCATTAAGCTCTACAGTTTTATTATAATATATATATTTTTTCCAAAGGACTTAACTAAGAACAAAAATTACTTTTGATAAGGAGGAAACCTTTTGAGTGCAGAGAAGTCTCTTAAAAGGGTCTCTGTCTGAGCTCTTTCGAACTTGAAATTTATATGCAGAGAATAAAGCCATGTGAGAATGGGTGATATTTGTATGAAACTGAGCATGTTCATATTCTTTTCTGTGCAGATTTGTCTCAGTAAATCCCCAGAAAATATCGCTTGTCTCATTTTCTTTCAATCCCTTTGTCTGAGCTGAGAATGTTTTCCCCCACCTTTCTTTGTAAATTCTCTTGATTTTGGTTATGTAATGGGACCAAACAATTACCTTTCCTGAACAGAAGTCTCAGATGAATACATATCAATGGTAATACCAGTAATTAACAGTTTTTCTCTGTAGTGCTTGTCTGAAACTGCTTTTATTGATTTCACTGTTCCACATAGGACAGTTTTTCAGCTTGCACAAACATATGTTTATCTCCTTTTGGTTCTGACCATCCTGGCCTCTGTTTTCCAAGACTGTGAACTCCTCAGGATAGCTCTGACAGAGGAGCAGATGAAAGGGAACTGAGGTACCTCGAATTGGTTATAACCTTACGGAATTATCCATGAGTGTGAAGGACGGAGAACCTCTTAGTCTGAGGTTTAATCTTCTGCCTTTCCTGTCTGATTTAGTTGGCACTTGGAGTTACATGGAATTGTGTGTGGGGAGAGGAAAGGGTCTTGGAGAAGGAGTCATTCATGCAAAGACAGAGGTTGAAAGGAGAAAAGTGGAAGAGAGAAAACCAGTCCCTAATTTTCCCTTGCCTTGGATTGTTCTGTTTCTCCATGATCAATCCCAGTCATGTGTTTTTCTTCCTCTCAGCCAAGGGAAAGATGCAGAGTACTGAAAGGGCAATTTTTTGGGGTGGCTGAATGCGTCAAGTTTATTACTTCTTCTTCAGAATTGATCCCTTTTTATTAAGTTTGATGTAGAAAACCGAGATAACACAGAATCAAAGGAAGAAGAGGAGGAGAAGAGAGGAAACTCATTTTAAATTTTGCCAAACATTTTGTGGTCATGCTTGCAAACACATCCCTCCAATATGTTTGAGATCTTGCTGAACTTACCTACAGAACGTAGTAGTACTGAATATAGGATTCTGTGATCCATTTTTCAAGTTAGTAATATGTTGTAAACCTCTTTTTAGATCAATAATTATACATATGTATCATCATTTTTCATGGTTGAGCAGTAGTATTCCATTGGAGAGAGATATATATATATATGTTCATTTTCACACTGCTGATAAAGACACACCTGAAACTGGATAATTTATAAAGAAAAAGAGATTTAATTGACTCACAGTTCCACATGGCTGGGAAGGCCTCACAATCATGGCAGAAGAGCAAGGCATGTCTTACATGGTAGCAGGCAAGAAAGAGAATGGGAGCCAAGTGGAAGGGGAAACCCCTTATAAAATCATCAGATTTCATGAGATTTATTCACTACGATGAGAACAGTATAGGGGAAGCCACCACCATGATTCAATTATCTCCCACCAGGTCCTTCCCCCAACACATGGGAATTATGGGAGCTACAATTCAAGATGAAATGTGGATGGGGACATGGCCAAATCATGTCAGTATGTATATAGTATTAAACCAATCACCTAGTGTTGGATATTTAGTTTGTTTCCTTTCTTTCCTGGTTTCCTTTACCTTCTCTCCCTTCCATCATCCATCCTGAAATAAAAACCCTTGATCTTTTTACCTGCATCAGAAGGAAGCATTTGCTGAGAACAAATTCTTATGTGTAGATTGTTGGGTCAAAGAGTGTGCCCATTTTTTAGGCTTCTGGTGCATTCACGATTCTTCCCTCTGAGAGTATTCTACTGATGCCTACAGGGAGTATGACAATTTTAACCTCAGAATTAAACCTCCAGTATTGCTTCTCTGGAGGTGTGATGTTTGCACTTAAAACTCTAGTATGGATATGAATTGATAAGATAAAGGAGATGGCGATAATGGTGGTAGTTGTGATGGCAAGCATTCTAGACAGAGGAGCACACATGTGCAAAGAACACTTGGTGGGAGGGAGTAAGTGACCCTCAGAGAGGAAGGGATGGTCACTGGAAGACTGAGCACACAGAATGAGGTGGGGAGGACATGAGAGGAGGTGCAAGAAGTGGGCAGTTGGGGAGGGAATATGGATGGAGAGAGAGAGAGAAATCATACAGTGCCTTGTGGACCACACAGTGAGTTTAGGCTTTAATCTTAAGAGATCCTGGAAGTCAGTGAATAGTTTTAGCAAGATTGGAGGTGGGGCGACATAACTGCATTCATCATAATTCCATGAAGTGAATAGGAAAGACATTCTTATGTGGCAGATAAAAAGACCACTTTTGGAAAGTTTAAGGAGCTTACATAGGGTTCTTCCTTTCTGCAGTACAAATTAGGGTTCTTTTGGTCATACTAAATGACTAATTATGGGCCAACACATGAATTGGGATCTTTAACAACAGATCGCCCAAATACACCGAGGGGGCTAGAGCAGATGTTCTCGGTACTCCACCCACATCCCCTGGGTACTCTCCTTTGCAAGCTGAAGATTACTTAATTAATATTTCCAGCTTTCTTCTTGAGGGCTTTTCTTTTCTGGCCACAAGATCAGACACCCAGCACAAAGGGCAGGCTGGTAAGGCCAAGGAGTTAATGCCCCTGGAGGTCGCCCAGTGGCAAATGGAATTGGCGGATAAATACCGTAACCTTTGCAGTCCTAGGGTTGCCAAATAATTCTGAGGTATGTGCTCCATATTGCTAGGTGGAACCCAAACTAAGGCAGGGATATTTCTTCCACTGAATTTGTGCTTCTTGAATTTTATCATGAGCACTTGGAACTTGGTAGGCGCTTAGGCTCTGAAGATGGAGATTCTTCCAATGAGCATGAAACCAAGACTCTCAACAT